AAGAGTTAGATGGGAAGTGGAGCATTTGGGACATGAATCAATGCCTGTATAGGATCCTGCTGGAGCCACTGACTCATCCATCGTGCTGGACCCTCCAGTATACATTCTTAAGCATGTTCATTGGAGATCAGTAGGCTATAGATCCCCGAGTTTACTTCTAGGTTCTCTGTTAAGTTCCACTGGAATATAGGGTCTGCTCTTAAGTGGATATCATGCTGTATTAATTGTAGCTTTGCAATATATCTGAAGTAATAATATTCTCTTACAAAAATTTATTTACTAGCTGCTTTTGACAGCACAGTAAATTCTAAGAAGCTGCGCATGTCATCTTTGGTCCTTCTGTATCATAAGTACATTGTGGCAGCCTGACACTTAGGATGACATCCCACATATAATTTATTTGGTGGATGAATCTGGGCCAAATTCATTGTAGAAATGGCAACATGGAGGACCATAAAAGGGGAAGGTATTTACTCGAGGTCATACAAAGAATCAATGACAAAGAAAAGATTGTAGCACAGTCATGTCTCCTGATTCTTGATGCAGTGCTCTTCTTAACAATAAACTTTCACTATTGTATTCATCCCCAGTTGACACTGGTATAGAATTCTGGCTCCTGGACTAGACTGTGGATTACTTAAGGCCAGTGAACATAAGTTGTACCTGGTTTGTCCAACATCATTGCTAGTAATCACATGCGATAGCTACATGTGCAATAAGATCTGTATGATTTGAGACGTACTGTAAGTATAAAAACCACATCATTTCAAAAATGTAAAATATGTCATTATTTAATGTTTATATTGTTCACAGGTTAAAGTAACCTCTGAATGCATTGAGCTAGATAAAATACATCACTAAAATTAATTTCAATTATATTATTCCTTAAATTTTTACTGTGATGACTAGAATACCCGTGGCTCAGGACTGGTGCTGTGGTGTAGCATGTAAGGTGGCCCCCTGCGATGTTGGCATCCTATATGATTGCAGATTCATGTCCTGGTTATTCTACTTCTGATTCAGCTCCCTGATAATAACCTGGGAAAAACAGAAGTAGATGGTCCAAGTGTTTCGACCCCTACACTCTCATGGCATACCCAGATGAATGTCCTGAATCCTTGCTTTAGCTTGGCTCATTCCTGGCCATAGTGGCCATCTGGGGGAATGAACTAGAGGATGGAAGATTTCTCTCTCTCTCTCTCTCAAATGCTAGCTTTCAAATAAACGAATAAATACATTTTTTTAAAAAAAAGCATATTTTCATTTGCTGTATATTTATTTTCCCTTTTATGTCAAGAATAGAGATTTGCAGTCACTAAGTACTCAACAACCTGTGGAAGTTGAGCTGTAATTTGTGAATTCATAGCTTCTCTCCATCTTGCCAGTATCATTAGGTTTGTAGGGAACCTTACAGTGAAACATCTGTTCTAAAGCCCAGATATACAAAAAGTTCTTCAATCTTGGCTTGAGCATGCTGTAAATAAATGCATCAGCCGTTGGGTTTCCTTTTGGAGGAAGCTCCAGTGCAATTCTGTGCACAGTAATCATTTGGGTTGAGATGCATTATGTGGACATCAGCCTCTTGCACAGGAAGTGGTCTTAGCTTTGCAATTATTCTCGGGTCCTCTTTTTTGAAAGGCTATTTTTGAAAGGAGATGAGAGTGAGTAAGCAGGGAGATGAACTCTAAGTGAAGGGTGGTCTTTTCAGTTCATGGAGGTAAGAAAAGCTAAGGAAGGTGTAATCTTGGGGCCATGAGGTCTCCATATTTCATTTACATGTTGACTCATCCATTCATTCAACCCAGAATTCTGAGGTAACTATCTTCTGGTCCTGGGAAGCCAATAAAAGAATTGATACAGTCCCTTCTCTGAGCAATTCTTGTCTTCTGGGAGAGACAGATATAAAAGTGTAGCATGGAGATATATATTATATATGTAAATATATGTATAAATATATATATTTCTTTTATAAGTATATACATATATTTATATTTATGCTGGAAAAAATCAAGATAGGGACTAATTAAATAAGATAGTAGTGGTTAGAAAAGGCTTTGTAAAACAGTGGACATTGTTTCCTTTCTATGTATTTTTAAGATCTAGCTAAAATCTTCCTCTTCTAGGAACCTTTCTAATTATCATTAACTTCTCATCCTCTGCCCAGGAAATATCTTCTTTTTTTTATCTTCTGTTGGCATGGTCTATTTTTATCAAATTGTTTGTCATATTCTATGGAATGCCATAGTTCCTGGGTGCAGGTTTGTCTTTCCATTGTAGTCTGAAAATTCCTCATTCTGATACAGTGTTCAAAGTTCAGTCTGCGCATGATCACTCAGGGTCACACACTTCACGAGTTACAGAGGTAGGTCTACAATCCAGAGAACTATACTCTGGAACCTATGACGAAGGAATTCTCAATGTTCTTTATATTTTAATATTAAGTGAATAAGTGAATGAATCTACAATCAGTATATCCTGCCTACTCTCACAGTCCACTCTCTTTTTTGCCATCTCTACCCACAAGCACGATTAAGGAAGAGAATATCTAAAACAGGAGGCCTCTGTGACTTTTAGTTGATTTGAGCAATAACTTGGACAACAGATTTAAAAGACAAGCCTTTTTGTGCTGTTGTGCAAATTTAGTCTTTCCCAACATGCTTTGTGCCTGTAGGGTGGAGAGGAATTCCAAGAAGCCCAATGTCCTTTGCTCCCATTCAAGGCTTCTCCATAGGTAACATGAACATGATTTGCAGACTTCTGGCTTTTAATGCTCTATCTTGTGGATCTGTCATGGCCCTTAAAATGAACTGTGTTCCTTTGAGCAAAGGCGTTATCTTAACAGATGACTATTGTTTAAAAGCCTGTAGAATACCCCAACTGACAGGGAAAAAAAGACCAATGGATAGTTGATCTTACTCAATTTCTATGTTCTAAGTAGGGAAGAGGAGGGGTGCTTCCTAACAAGGTGCCCACAGAGACCTTCCTGCTTCCTCCCCCAGCTGTAGTCAGAAACAAAAAAGAAACGGGAACCGAATCTTTCTAGAAGCCAGAACTGGGGAAACTGGTCTCAAGGTTTAAGCCAATAAATTATTCTAGTTGAAGGAAGTTTTCTGCAACGTAGTGAGTACAAGTGAGTTCCAGGCTGTCCCCAGAGCCTCAGGCACTGTAGCTACAATGAAAATTATAGTTTAAAAAAAAAAGAGCAGGGGTGAAGGAGGTATAAGGGAAACAGGGAAATATCACCCAGACCAGGTGATCCAGTCTCTGTTGATACAGGAAACTGAGTCTCATGGAAAAGTTAGAACTGAGACTGGGACTTTGGGCTTGTGAATCACAGGATGTGGTATTTTCTGTTGATCCTGAATTTATGAGACTGCACACACCTGGGATGGATTTTTCTTTTACCCAGGGTTTGAACACTGTCCAAGATACTATGCTAGCATAAGGTCAGGATTAGGTCTTGGCTGTTGCAATAACTGAAAGCCATATAAAGCATATTTAGAAAGCATCACAAGAATTGTTCCTTCTGTCCCCCATATCATGAAAATTCATGGTGGAGGGCAATGGATGATAGGGGTTTATAATCTTCCTGGTTGGGAATTGGGACTGCCAAGGAATTGTGGACATGAAGCACAAGGGAATTTGTTACTTTCTCCTTCCACAGTTTATGTCCACCACTTAGCCTAGAACTTAAGAATCTGGCATTATATTTTTTTTTCCCCAAAGGCCAATTACTTCCCTCTCCCTTTTGTAGCCATTGTAGATGAGAAAGAATGACCATTTGACGTCATACTTGAGTGTGAATTTTGTTTTCTCCATAATTTGGTAGTTTTCTTTTCCTAGGCAAATATTTTACCTTTTCTTTGAAAAATGTATTTGTTTATTTAAAAGGCAGAGTTGTGGGGGGAAGAGAGAGAGAGAATCTTCCATCTGCTAAATCACTCCCCAAATGACCACAATGACTGGGGCTGGGCCAAACCAAACCATAAGCCAGGAATTCCATGCAAGTCCTCCCATGTGGGTAGCAGGGGTCCAAGTACTTTTGCCATTTTCTGCTGGTCTCCCAGGTATTTTAACAAGATGGTGGATCAGAGGTAGAGCAACCAGGACTGGAACCAGTATTAATATGAACTGCTGACATCATAGGCAGTGGTCTAACCTTGTGTACTACAATACTAGACTCATCACTTTATTTCTATGTGCCTCAGTTTCCTTACCTACAAATAAGAATAATGATAATCTCATACCCAAAGATTGTAGAGTAAATGAGATAATATATATAAATCGCATAATAGGTACTTTAATAAATGCAAATTTTCTTTTTTTCTTTCCTAAGTAACCTGACTTGGGTCAGGTTCACAGGCATGTGGCCCATGAAGTTTCACAGGGTCCCGTGCTTCTGGTGACCTCTCACATGTTCTGTCACAATCTTGAAACTCTTAATGTATTTACAAGGGGAGCATAATTTTCATTTTTCTCTGGTCCTTGAAAACTATGTAGCTAGTTCTATGTGCCAGAGGAAAGATTACGGTAAAATGGCACTCTAGGACCATGGGCCATTCTACTAGATTTGGAGTTTGCGAACATGGATTCAAATTCAAACTTTCTTTATGATACCGAACGTTTCCTTTTTCTCCCCCTCAGACTCAGTTCCTCAATTTGGATCATGGAGATATGCAGTAGATAATGTCTCAGTGCTGACATTCCAGAGTTCCTTCAATTGCCCTGGGGAAACTTCCCTGCCCTTCACACATAGTCTAGTGGGTCTTCTAGGCATTTTTTGCTCCTGTTCTTTGCAGCATGGAGAGCCACTGACTGTTAAAGGTTGGCTGGGAAAGGGCTGGGGCAAGGCCACTGGGGACTATTGCTGCAGTAGTAACCCCTTTCACAACCGTACTATTTTGTCATTTTGCACCCAGATTTCCGTTGGCTAACCTCAGCCTTATCTTCCTCATTTCTGTTTCCTCTTGTAGACACCAAGAGCCCTTCAAAACACAGTCTTCCTGCGCATGACATAAAGCCCAACTTCTCCTGGCCTTTACAGTTTGGCTCAGCACCAGAGAACCTCTGTCCCATCCAACACAAAGGCACCACTTGCATGACAGGTACAGTATTCACTTTTCCTCTTTTCCTGGAATTTCTAAGGTGAGAAGGTGTCCAGGGCAGCCAAGGTTGCCTTGGGTCTGTGCATTCCACTCCCTTCTGTTTTTTCTTAGGGATTTGGGGGGCAAGGGTGGGACCATTGACCTTCCATCTTGGAATTTCTAGGGTGGGAAATAGTGGAGAGTGATATTTTTTAACCAGGCAGGATATTTAGAAAAGAGTTATGTGAAATGTGATTTGTTGGGCAAATCTCCACTCCAATTTCCAACTCACGTTTTGGCCTCCTTAGAAAAGAAGAGAAGGATCAGGTGCTTGTTGTCACTGCTGAGAAATGATATGCTGGTAATGTCTGAACACACACACACACATACACACATCTAGGTGGGCTTGAACACATCTGGGAGGGTTGTGGGTGATTCATGTAACACTCTCTGAAACATATGACTCAAAAGGGGAAAGCCTCTTCTTTTGTAGTCCTATGCCTGCCTTCTAGATCTTCACAAATAAGATGACTCTGAGAAAGTAGGTATGTACGTGAGAAACCAGATATGTATATGAGAAACAAGTTGAGAGAGAGGAAAAATGAACTTACCCAAGATCACATAGGTGATATGTAATAGGATGGGGATCTGGACTCCCAGTCCAGTGCTCCTTCTGCTCCACTCTAGGAGGAATGGAACATTGGGCAGCAGAACCTTGCAATGCCCGATTGGATCTCTTTGTACTGAGGAAGTCTTAGGTTTATGACGGCATGGTCCTAATTACTTCTTGTCATCTACTCCCTTTGTCAGATATTTGCCTCACATTGGGTGTTCAGAGTCTTGCCTATACCTCCTTCTCCAGGTTTATTCCCTTTAGTTACTTCCATCAAAACTGGCCCACCCCTTGTCTCAATAATAGTGATTTTGTGGAACTTTCTAATGGTGGATTTTTCATTTCTTACGGGAACAGATGATGACATCTAACCTGAGCAAGTGAAGTACTTTAAGAATCTCCTAGTGTCACTCCAAGTAGATATCTGCCTCTTCATTTTGTGAGTCGTGAACATCTTAAAAAAAAAAAAAAGAATCTGCTTTTCTTACGTGCACTGTATGAAAGAGACACGGACTAGAACAGAAACAGAGGAAAAGAAACAAGCCTAGCATTAGCCACTGAGTCATACCGTCAATACTAGGGAATCATCAACAAGGCTTTTACAATGTACCAAGAATCTATAGCCACTTTTATATCTCTTAGCCAGGCTTCCTGCTGTAGATGCAATCAGAAAATACATTACAAGGCTGGGAACACCTCTAGTTTATTCAGGTTTTCTTACTGCAGTGTATAGCTAATGGGAGTGAGAGTAGAATAAAGGCACCAGCTAATTTCTTTCTCTGCTGTTTCCTTAACTCAAGCTCTGCTACTCAGCTTCCTTGACTGGCTTCTACCAAAGGTTCCAGGGTGGAGGTCCATGGCTCCAGGGGGATTGAGGTGTCTTGAGAGCTTTTAGATGGTAGGATTTGGAGAGTTTACCAAACACTTTGCTAACAACTCTGCCGGGTAAGTTTTCTTTTCCATCTTTCTAGAAAAGAGAACTGAAACCCAAGTAAAGACTTGTCCAAGCTGTAAATGTCTAGTTGAGCCGTCAAGCCAACATTGGAACCTAAGTTTGTGTGATTCTTCTATACCGTTTATGATGCCTGTGAGAGGCTGCTTTGGCTAAGAGCTACATTTTTGGGGTGGCTTAGGTTGCACTGAATATGTAGATGGGGATGTATTGCAGATAGGGGTATGAGGACATGGAAAAGAGAGGTTAGAGCATTAGCTTTGAGGCAGCACCCAGATTGCGCATTGGAGAGGTCCTTAACATTCCAATAAAAGAGTGTTGAGTTATTTTGTTGTTTATGAGGCTCATTCCACTTTTTCTGGGCTACAACAGGACCTTCTGGCTTCTTGAGGGCAGTTTTCCATTCTTGGTAATCTTGGTTTATTTGCCACTTTTCACACTAATATCTAATGCAGACTTGCCATTTTTAAATAGTTCAACAATTGCAGCTGAGAAGGGTAGAAATTTGATACTAACAGTTATTTTTTTTTTTAGCAACAGGATCTGGGTATTCCTAATGGAATTCTCACTGAAGTTCTGGGTTTGACTTGGTTTCTGGCAGCTTCTGTATTAGGCTGTTTGATTTGGGTTAAAAGATCCCAGTGCCGTATTGCAAATATCATTGCCTGCTATTTGCCCCTTTTCACCTGTGTGTCTCCCTTTTCTCAGAGGGATACTCAAAGTAGGATAGTAAAAAGACTAATGAAGAGTGCTGGAGGGTGCAATGCAGTGGTATAGCTCATAGCTCTAAAATGCAAATACCTGATGTATTTTATGCCTTTTAGCGAGCTTCCATCCCAATATAACCCTTTCCCCCCGATTTCTAATCTGAGTGGGTGAGGTTAGATGTTATTTAAAAGCAATTTCACCCTGTCATATTTGGATCATTTTGGAACAAGGGGATCATGCTAGTAAACACAGCTAAGGCCAGAAGAAATTGTAGTCACATCTGTCTTGACTGCTACACTCACTGCCAATAGCAAAGGAGATTTTTTTTTTTGAGGATTTATTATCTATAAAATACTGAATTCTGGACTTTCTATGAATTATTGCATGTCATTCTTATAATAACCTTAAGTACTCCAATTATGCATGTTTTGTGGATATAGAAAATTGGAGTTCAGTGAAGTTCAGAATTAGTCTATCTAATTAACAACAGATCTAGTATTCAAGTCCACATTTAACCTTAAAACCTAATTGTATAACCTCAGAACTTGTGAGAACACACTTTCGGAGAGTTTAGGAGGAAGGGAAAGAAAGGATACTGATCCTGGGATCTGGTCCTTTCCTTAAGTCACAGAGGTAAGATGAATAAAGCATCTTTATTGCTTAGTAGATACTCCGGGACCTTGGGATTCCTAGAAATGTCATAGCTACTGGAGTGACCAGTCCCATGCTGAGCACTTAGCAGCTGCCTGGAGTTTCAGGCAGGCCTGCTGTACTTACCCTGAAGACACATTGCTCTGCTTAGAAGCCTTACACTGCTCACTTCTCTAGTCTGATGTTTTAGTTGACCCGGCCAATTTTTGTCTTGTAACTTGACCACTTTATTCTCTCTCTTTCCCTCCAGGGCCACATCTCCTAGGCAAATCTCTCCTCATGGAAGACACTGGTCTGGCCTCCTGCAGTGCCACGCTCCGTGTATTTGACAAGCTGAGTTGGACACTCCGTGTGGTAGAGTGTCAGTTTGTCAAATACCCCAAGTGCGGCATATGCCTAGCAGCTCCAGGCCAGGGAAGATGGAGCACAATGAATAGATTACCTACAAGGACCCAAGGATGCTCATCAAGCACCAAGATCTTACACATTATTTTCTGTGACATTTTGGGAACTGAAGCATTGTGTCTGAGAGTGCCAGAGGGAAAATGAGGCAGCTCCGGGAGCTCCATCTCTGAGCTCCACATACCAACATCTTAAGAATGTTAAAGGAACCCAGTAGTCTTGAAAACTTATAAGGTACCCAGGAATAGATGTGATCGTTTTTCGTTATTATTTTCTTTCTTTACCTTCCCCTACTGAAGTTTCCCAGTCATAACACCATGATCTTCATACAGAAGCTTCACAGCTTATTTGAGAAACCAGAGCTTAGTAATCTACTGTCAGACAATCTTGACTACTAAATTCTTGAGCTTTCTTATTCCGCCCCCCCCCCCATTTCCTCATGCTTTTTTCTTTCTAGGAATATCTTCTTTGTTTCTTTCCATCAAATTCTTCCCCATGTTTCTTGGCCCAAAGTTCAACCCCTCAGGGTCTTACGAAAGTAAACCTACACGTTTTCTTTCTTTATTTGCAAAGCACTTCTTGCCTGAGTTCTGGCATTGCATTACCTCCTACTGTGGAATAACGCCTCTTGAATCATTGGCAAAATTTCCAAGGGGTATTTTTGAAATTCCTATTACAGTGAACTTTTAGAAGACCAGGTTGTGTTTTCTTGATTGTGGTTTCATTTCATAGCCAATTAGCGTGGTTACAGAAAATAACTGAATAAATGTTTACTGATTGATTGATTCTTCTATTAGTCTATTAGGTCAAATGCCATCCAGAATTTTGTGAAAATACAAAAAGCAAGCCATGAACACTACAATAATCAAGGGTGTGTGAGGTAGCAGGGGACATGGTGGGTTTCTTCTTTCTGATAAATGAAGCAACGATGGAGGAAGGAGCAGACAAATTGATTTGGTGGAAAAGTAAGTTTTAGAATTACACAGTTCCACAAAGTTACACAGGTACTTTATTACAGAATTTTTTGAGAGCTTTTAACATTCTCTTGTGCTGAGAATTTCCAAGAGTGAACTATAACATAAATCATTTGACACGTTTAACTGATCCTGCGGTATTTTTTTCCATGGGCTATCTCCTGGGTCCAATGTTCCATATAAACATTTAGAAAATATCCCTTGAATACTTTAATACCCTCCTTCTTCCAGAAATCCTTTTTCTTTTTTTATTCCTTTGTTTGTCCTGGACTAGCCACGCTGCTAGGGGAGGTTCTTTGTTACCACTCAAATCTGTTTAGTCATTCCTGCAATGTGCGGCCTCATTTAAACATAAGTATGTCTTATTAAATTGGTTCGTGTGGAATATTTCCTCAGTTTGGGGGCAAAAGTTATTTTTGTAAGGTTTATGCAGCAGTGAAATATTTTAGGAGTTCACAGGTCTCATTCTTGTTTTCTGTTCAATCACTGACTTGAAATATGTGACTTTAGTTAAGTTACTATTCCTCTCTGGGCTTCATTTCCTCATTTGTAAGTGTGGGAGTGTTAGAATCAGTTATCTCTAAGCTTCTTAAGATGAAAGCTTCTGAGATATCTCTGGAGATCCACGTGTCCTGTGGAGTATAGGTTACTGAATATATGGTTGCTTTTTTTTTTTTTTAATAATGGAAGCAGAACCATAATTCTCTCTGTGGGTTGTGAATACAAAGCTGTTTCATGAAGGAAGGTGAGGTTTTTGCTGGGGTGGGGGCTCTCTTTCAGAGTTTTGTAGAACAGTGGGAGAAGGAGTTGCTGCTTTCATCAACTATTTGGTGTCTGTGATGAGAAAAAACACTGAAGTTTTGACCATGGGCTTGGCAGATTGAGTGGTGATAAAATATAATTCTTCCTTGTTAGCTTTTATTTACCACTTTTAATTTTGTAACCATCAACTAAGAGGAGCAGCTCTTGGTGCAATATAGGCTTACTTGGGAGGTTACTTGGGAACTAGATATGGCAGCTTATAGAAAGAGTGGGGAAGCCGATTTGTCATTAATTATATTGGCACAAAGAAACAGTGTAAACCTCATCCAGAATAGATCCTTATAGGGGAGCATGATTTTAAGGTGTTTGATTAGTGTATACACACACACACACACACACACACACACACACACACACACACGATTCTTGTCTGAAAAGAAAGACTTGTTCTCCATGGTGAGAATGGACTAGGAGCTACAGAAGCTAATCCATGAAGAATCCATCTTCATACTAAAAACATTTTGTGGTATATATATATATATATATATATTGTATATAAGTGGAACCCTTTATTTCTTCATTCATAGTGCCTGGAGACAGAAGAAATACTCCTTTCAGCTAATCTGTGCAGAATCATCCAAGTAGGGCTGTCAGGATAATAAAGAAATTAATACAAGGTAAAGGAGTGATATTTAACCAAAGATTCATTGTGCTGCAGCTGGGCCCACTTGTGAACTGAGGTAGGCATGACACGGGCAGGAGGAGGTATTCACCAAAAGGCGAAGATGCTATCTGTATTCCAGGAGCCACAATTATGTTAACTAGTTTCACTTTAATCACCCTTGATGGATTCTACCAACACAATTGAGATTGCTATCATTATTTATTGAATGCCAAAAGAACAACAGAGAACTAATAGTTCAAAAGCAGAAATGAACCCTATACTGTGATATCATGACCAATTCAAAGTTGTCTGTCCCTGGAGAAACGGAAGTGATCAGAGTCACAGCTAATCCCCTGAGCTGACAATGCTGAATTTCCCTGTAGCCTTTTGGAGATAAGAGGCCAAAATTGAGTGATGTCTTGAGGTGTAATGATCAGGACCTTGTTTTTAGAGAGGAGTACGATAATTCCCAGGTAAGGATGCTAAAAGGGCTCAGGATGAACTCTGAAGCTGACTTGTTTAGGGTACATATGGTAAATGATTAGGCACAGTGAGTTGGTTCCAGCCATCTCAGTACCAGCAGGGCAGACACTTTATCTAGGAAGAATGATAGCAGGGAAGGGGGTCATGCAGAAGACAGGGACTGAATAAGTAATGACTTCAGTGGGTTCTGGCCTAGTGGAGCAGTTTTAGTAAACGCTCTTGCCCTCAGATGCCAGAACCTCATAATCTATGGGAGCTGTGTTCAGCAGGCAGGTTTTGTCACCATTCGAATGAGTCATGATCTGGTACTCCTGGCCCAGGCAGGGTTTGTCAGAGTAGTTGTTGCCCAGAACTTGGAAAGCTGACTCATCGCCGGAGCAATCACTTGCGAAGATGGCCACCCTCATGGTTTCTTGAGAGTTGCTGGCTTCCCTGGCATTCATCCTGTGTTCCAAGCGCCCACAACACCCGTGAGAAGAGGTTTGAGATCAGGACCCTTGTTCCCCATCCTTTATTGCCAGTTCTTGCCAACTGACTCTCAGGTTTTTGCCATCTAGCAATTCTGGGAGCAGAAGACTGTTATACCGAAATTATCTTTTATGTTTGTTGAGTCAGACAAAACCTTACAGGGCATCTTAAAAAGGGAAGAAAAATGTTCTGGGTGAAGGGCCCTGACCATAGTATTTGAGCTGTGCCACACCCCCTTTTCTCCATGATTCTTGCCAGTGGTCAGCAAAATTGAGGGCAGGGAAATCAGAAGATGAAAGAGGAGGTGCTATCTTACCTGGCCACTTCGTTGACATGCTCTAGAAAAGAAGGATGAATCCGGTCAGAAATTTCCATGGGAAGTAGAAAAGGGCCAAGCATAGACCCTGAATACCAGTCAAAAGAGAGACGGGGACAGGGAAGGGGATTTAAATTCATTTCAGCTTTCCAACAACTGAGAGTTATTGGGAAGATGAGTTGAAACACATGGATTCAGACTAATCAGGGGAAGAGTGGGAGGGACACTGGGCTCAGTTTTATTTGGCATTTCTGACTCAGAATACTGAGCTTAAGGGGATACTTATGGGTGGGATTTGTGCTCTGGAATTGGACTCACTTTGCACCTTGCAATCTCAAAGCTCTCCAGAGTACTTGTTGGAAACTTGACCACCAGGCTACATTCCAAGAAGGGACTGAATACGTCTCATGCCAGAAATCTTGGTCCAAGGTTTTCCAACTAACCCCTGACCCATCCCCAGGAAAGGTCCAGAAATAGGTTACTATTGCCCCCTAGTGTCTATGGAAGATAAATGTCCTGCATTCCATATAAGCTCAAAGGTTCATTTGGCTTGGTACAATGATGGATGTGTTTTGTGGTACTCAAGATGCTTAAAATCTTTCAGATCTGTAAGTGCAATGCATGCATTAAAAACCACGACAAATAAACAGGGAAAGCCACAGTTTTCCGCCTAGTGGCAGAGTTCCCTATACCATAGAAGTCATGTGTGTTTTCCGTCTTTGTAAGTTCAGTGCTTAGTTCACAGTAAGTGTCCAGTAAGGACATGTTAAATTGAATTCATAGTGGAAACTCTCCCCTACAGGGTTCAAAAGGTAAAAAAAAAACAAAACCACAGGACTCCTGGAAATTCAATCCATGAAGGGAAAAGACACCAAGATACACAGTGTACAAGGCTTCTTTGATTTTAGTGACTAGAAATATCAATAGATACATGACAGTGATGTTGCATGAGGAGATGAACTTGAGTCACGTCTCGGAGGGCCCTGAATGGAATGCTATACTTTGATCTTTGTCCTTTGGGTCATGAAGAACCATGGAGTATTTTTTGCTTGCTTATTTGTTTTGCTTGTTTATTTGTATGAGGGAAACAACCTAATATCATTTCTGCCTATGTCCAGCTTCAGTAATACTGTGATTTTTTTTTCAGTGCTTTTATGGTTTGATATATCTCCATTCTTAAAGTTTACTCTCATGGGTCATAGCCATGTTAACTGGGCCAAAGCCAGAGCTTGTACTTGAGACCCCAGAGAAAGTATACTCAACTCATCTCTCTGATTGGAGAGACACGTGGTAGGTACTAAGCAACTTAGAAGTTAACAGATATCACAGTGAAAACTAATGCTAGGCACAATGGCCAATTCTTTTAAAAACAAACCTTTCAATTCTCCTTTTCCTCCTTTGTTGGACAACTGTACCTTTATCATGCCATTTCCCTGATCAAAAAAATGTTTTTGTATATATTTGGCATAGTTTTGGTTTTTATAAATTTTTGGTGTATTTTCAAGTTCTAATGAAGAAAATCAAAAATTTTCTGGCCTTGTATTCAAGGTTTTCTATAACCAAGGCTGAACCTTCCCTTCCCACCGTGTTTACCCACTGCTCCTCTACTTGGCTTTTCTTTATGGATGATCTCACTCTTATACTTTAGGTCTTTATATTTTTGCTTGTGTGATTCCTCGTTTCTAAAATTTTATCCCTTTATACAATATATTGTTTTCTATCCCTTTATGCAATATATTGTTTTCAACCTCAAGATCTGTTCTGTCTCACTTTCTTGTGAAAGTCATTGTTAAATATTCCACCCTAAGCGACTGACTTCTCTTCTGAATCCCTTTGGTGTTGATCATCTTCCCCAAGTTTCAATGCATAGCCTTCATTGCTATGTATTATTATTGATAAACACCATACTTGTATCTAAAATGGTCCAAATAAATTGTAACCAATTGAGGGCAGGGGCTGTGATTTATTCTTCTCTTAAGTCCTTATGCCGTGACTCATTATAAATATTCTCAATTTGGTACCAAAAATTTATGCATTTACTTCTGTGACAAGATGTAAGGCATTACTGGTTTGAACAGTTATCTTAACTATCTATGTGCACCACTACTCTTACTCACAATCTATGTTGGAAACTCTTTCAAATGCCCAATGCGATGCCTGATGCCAAGACGAGGCTCAAGAATACTGCCAGAAAGAAAAAGGGCACAAAAGCCTCTCAGCCATACTTAATCACTCACCCTGTTGGGATGTCTTCCGGCAAAACATGACATAAGCCATGGTAAAAACCACAATACAGCATAAAGAGATGATAAGGAGGATGGCAAAGATGGGCAGGCCCTTTCCTAGAAGGCAAAACAAGATCAGGTGTTACACGATTAAAAATAAGACTGAAAACAGGTACTTTAAATATAAGTAGGCATCTTTCTTTTTCATTTTCTTGCCTAGCCCAAGTAGACTTCAGGTTCACAGGAAGTACTTGGGGATGACCACGGATGTCATAGCTAAACAAATTTTTAAAAATCCAATTATTGTTGAATAACTGAACTAAACATTTGAGCTAATTCTTCATGCTACCCACAGAGGTAAGTCCTGAAGTTTTTATCTTTCCTTACAAAGAAAAAAGTAGTACCGTTATACCCCAGTTTCCACAATTGTTACTTTACTGAGATCCTGATCAGTTACCTCTAGAAATCTAGAATCTTTCCACTGGGCTCTCTGGCCAACCTAGCGTCCATTTTTGTTTTTAGTTTTTTCAAAATGTATTTCCACTGAAGTACCTTTGGTACAAATCCCCACCATACCTAAAAGCTGAAAGAACCCATGTGAACTGAGCCTCCAATCTGTTATTTACATGTATGACTACGGTAGACAGGATAATGATTCCTGTAGATGTTCACATTCAAATTTACAGTAGTTATGTGTTAGTTTATATTGTCAAAAACAATTATGATTGTTGATAAAATTAAGGGTTGATAATTATTGAGATTGAAATGGGAGGATTAGTTTGCATTTTCCCTGTGGGCTCAATGTAATCACAAGGGTCCTTCAAAAATGGAATGAGACATAGGAAATCAGACCCAAGAGGAAGATTTGAAGATACTACATTACCAATTTTGCACTTGATCTTAGCCAAAAGGCCGAGAAGCGATTCTACACTGCCAATTTTGAAAGTAGAGGAAGGAAGGTACGAATCAAAGAATATAATTAGCCGCTAAAAAAGTTGGAAAGACAATAGATATATAGGGGAATATATATTCCCCTAAAGGACAAAAGAGGAGTGTAGACTTGCTGACATCTTTTTTTTTTTACATATGTTTTTTTATTGCATTTCATTTTATAACAACGTTTCATAGGCTCTGATGTTTCCCCTTCCCCTCCCCTTGCCCTCCCCCCATGGTCTATTGCTCCACCTTATTGCAGTATTACAGTTCAAATCTAGTCTTGTTTCTTTCAATGGAAGCATGTGCCTTGCATAGAGTCCAGTATCTTATTGCCCAGCTGAATTCAACAGTTTCTTGGGGAGACCAACTCTGGCCTGGAGACACAGCTGGCAGATTATTTTTCTGACCAATCAGATGCCATGACATAACATCAACAACAGTTTCCAACATTATGGGGTTAATTAACATTGTATTGAGTGACTGACATGTTAGAGAATGCGAGTTCTTAACCGCATCCTGAAACTACTTCATTAACGTTTCAGTTATAGTTTGTATACAACTGGCTTCTATCTACCTTAAACTGGCTATAGGATAGCATTCAGCTATCTCATATCTATTTTCATTTTTCAGCAGTTTATTGTGTTGAAGCATACATTTTACTGAACTTGGCAGATTTTAGGATAGTCTAAACTGGCTTATACCTCTAGCAAGCCATATGACACCTGTTGAGGCATAGAACACTGTTGGGAGGGGTGTGCAGAGAAATCCTCCATACCCTAGTTAGGAGTTGTTTATTTTCATGTCCTACCAAGTAAGGTATGTGTGAGTCCCCACTGATTGTTTTCTGTCTAATTCTAAGTTTTCCTTGTTGTTCTCTGTCTATTTTAATTCTTTTTGTTGTTGTTGTTTGTTTGTTTTGTTTGGGGGGGGGGCTCCAGGGCGACCCTGATGGTCATTGCAAGAAAGGGTGGGGATGCAGTACTGGAACTAATCAAGGACCAGAGAAAGCTCCTCTCCCTGGTCTCGGAGGGAGTTTATTGTTCTTCTGTTTCTGTAGACTGCTCAGGGCTCCTGGCTGCTGTTCCGGTGAAATTGGGCTCTGCGAGGAGGGATTTGGACTTCTTCTATCCTGTGTGGGAGATTCAGGTGGGAGCAGATGACCTCAGAGTACTTAGCCTCCGAAGGCACTCCAATTCCCCGTGGTCTCCTTGGCATTTGGAATGTAGTCCTTGGTGCCCATACTGGGTAGTCCTTGGCAAGGATCTGGGAGCCTCCAGGGTTGGGATACAAGTCTCCTCTTGTCCACCTGCTCCACCCTGGAATCCTCCCTGCTCTGTGCACATGACCTCCTGTTAAGAGGTTGTCAGGGTCACTCCTGATACCCCCCATGTCTTTGTGGTTTTACTGTTGTCCAATGCTGATTCTAGTCTGTTTTCTATATCTTCATTTTAGCTTAATCATAATTGTGTCAGACTTTTGTTCTACATAGTATAAGACAACATATTGGGGGTGGCATGGTAGCCTAGTGGCAAAATCCTTGCCTTGCATGTGCTGGGATCCCATATGGGTGCCAGTTAGTGTCCCAGTTGCTCCGTTTCTATTCCAGATCCCTGCTTGTGGCCTAGGAAAGCAGTAGAGGATGGTCCAAATCCTTGGCTACCTGCATCCATCGTGGGAGCCCTGGAAGAAGCTCCTAGCTTTGGATTGGCTAAGCTCTAGCCATTGTGGAAACCTAGGGGAGTGAAACAGCAGACGAAAGATCTTTCTCTCTGTATCTCCTTCTCTCTGTAAATATGCCTTTCCAATAAATGAATTTTCTAAAAAATGATGTTCATGTTGTTTTAAGCTTCCAGATTTGGGGTATGCTTTCAAAACAAATAGGAAAAATGAATACAGTGATCATAGGCAGATACTTGCCTGTCCTGGACACAATTTCACTATCATGTCAATGAAAAAAAATGAACTGTGTCTGATGAACTTTCAGATATAATGTTCTTAATCCATGGGAACAGGTAAGGAGATAGAGGGAGGTACCAAAAAGGAACTGCACTGTTTTCATTTCACTAGACTCCAAGATCATATCTCCTAGAAATTTTTTATTTGTGGTTTTCAGAACTCATTGGAACTGACGGAACTTCAGCTATAAGTTTGCTTTAGTAAAAGAAAGATTTCTGGGGTTGGCATTGTGGTATAGCAGGTAAAGCTGTGGGCTACAATGTCAGAATCCCATATGGATGCTGGTTCATGTCCTGGCTGCCCCACTTCTGATCCAATTCTCTGCCAATAGTAAGAGAAAAGCAGTGGAGAATGACCCAATTTCTGGGGCCCCTGATCCCACATGGGAGTCCCAGAAGAAATTTCTGACACTTACTTTTGCTCAGGCCCAATCCCAGCTATTGCAGCTTCTGGGGTGAAAAGTAAACATTTCTTCCTCAGATAAGTCAATGACTGAAAAATTTCTTACTGTAAGGGTGTTCTAGATTCAGCACCTGGGAACCTATACCCTTCCCAAGGTATCTTCTTATTTTCCCTGATTTCCATGATCTAATTATCTTCTTCTAATGACGTTGCCCTGGAAGAAGCATGGAATGTAGGATGCCATCAGCAAAAAGTGGCAAAGTAAATGCGAAGTTTGTACACTTTGCACACAAATCAACTTTGATCTATGCCCATAAATGGCCAAGAACTCTACAACCAGGTGAGACTGGGAGCAGCAGGCAATTTAACATTAACAAATCAAACCAGATGCTTAGTGTAGGTTTGGAGTCTTAGAGGTTCGTTGGAGTATAAGGCAGTAGCTCTTTTCTTGCAAGACCATTGGATCATCTGCAGCATTCTAGGGCATGAGTCATGGCATCACAGGGGTTAAGGAAAACAATTATTAACTGCTATGAAAATATTTTGTCACTTTAGCCATCAAAACAGTATTGCATACCAACAGAGTATCAGTTCCAGATGGAACAGAAAATATCTCCCCTGAGGGTATGAATCTATGAAATGCTTAACTGAGGACCCTTAAAATTTTGCTGAAAGTTTCTTGGAAATCCTTGGATAAGAATTGAGATAGTGAGATCCTGCCATTATCTTTAACTGGCCCAACGCGCATTTCTTTAAGAGATCATGGCGGCATCCCTATTCTTCACGATTCTTGGGAAGTATGCTATTATGGCAACAAGATATCACTCCACTTAACCCTACTATAACTTGGCTTTCTATCCCACCCGCCCTATTCATTTCCAGGGCTCTTGCTACTTTGCCAAGTTGAATGCTAAAGGGCAGTGTGTGTAATGGGAAGATTCAGTTGTGAAGCTCAGCACTGAAAAGGAAGGATAGATGTCCTGATGTTGCTCTTACCTGGCCCAGTAATGGTCGTACCATGGTATCGATCCACTTCACTGGTCCGGTTCCAGGATTGGTTCGTTGTAGATGTCACTGTTACAATAGAGAATTACAATAAGAGGCTTCTTCTACATCCAGGAACAGCAAGGTAGAGGGATGGATGCAAAAGTGGGGACTCTTGGGCAAACTTGTTGCAGATTCAAGTGTACTTGGTCTTATGATCGACTGCAGGTACCCTGAGGTAAGGCATCTTATTTTCTTACTTTTTGTAATGGATAATGAAAAGAAAATACATACACAGAAGGGGTGTAATAATCCCCAAATAATATAACAGGTCAGAATCAGGGCATAAGTAAGAGTGTTCTCCTTTGCTGCTTTTTCAACGAGTGTGTTTTAATTTTTTTTTTTTAACCTTTGTAGCTTGCATTAAAAAAATATATACAATACTTATGATTCCACTTTTTTGCCACCCTTGATATTGGTTTCCACTCTTCTATTGTCATGTTATCACTGAGGAACTCAATGGTTTTAAATATATATATATCGGGCCCAGTGCGATAGTGTAGTGGATAAAGTCCTTGCCTTGCATGCGCCGGAATTCCATATGGTCGCCGGTTCTAATCTCAGTGGCCCTGCATCCCATCCAGCTCCCTGCTTGTGGCCTGGGACAGCAGTTGAGGATGGCCCAAATCCTTGGGACCCTGCACCTGCGTGGGAGACCCGGAAGAAGCTCCTGGCTCCTGGCTTGGGATTGGCTCAGCTCCAGCTGTTGTGCTCACTTGGGGAGTGAACCATGGGACAGAAGATCTTCCTTTCTGTCTCTTTTCCTCTCTGTATATCCACCTTTCCAATAAAAGTAAATAAATCTTCAATATATATATCCAAGGTCATTAGGGTGTCTTCATTGATTTCCATGACATTACTGTATGTCTAACCACTGTCTATAAGATAATGAGTCCAAAAGTGACAGACATTAGATAATTTAACATCAACAAATAAAAATTGTTAAGCTCACCTGCCAAGGGCAACTGTGTGCGTATAGGTGCCTCAGTACTGGAAGGTGCCTCAGTCTTGATCTTGGGTGGCTTAGAGGAGTCTGAAAGCAAAGAAAGGAGCCTCATCAATGGCTTTGGTAACCTTGTTTAGTTGAATACTCTAGGGAAATTTGGAAGTAAGTAAAAATCAGTCAAGTTAATACTTGGACCTGTAGCAACATTTTTCTCAAAAGGCTGAGAAGTCATGTGTTTCCTTTTCATCCTTCTACCAAGATTAATGTCTTCAAGGAACCTATAGCTAGAGTTCACAGAGTATTTTAACTCAGGAAAAATATTTTACTAACATTTAAGTGATTTATACTGATTCATTATATTGAGAGGGACTTCCATAATGTCACACACAAAAAAAAGGTGGCAGTGGGAGATGTCGTTGAACATTATAGGGTAATGACCTCCAAAAATCATAGAGTAATGAACTCTTTGTAAAAGAAATGCCATTTTTGTTTGCATTATTTGACTTAATCAGTTTCCTTCCTCAACAATTCTGGAAATTAACCAATGATTTACAGCAACTTGGTGAAATTTTATGAACAGAAAACCTTCCAATTTTGGAAAAATAATAGGTTTTGTGTCATTTTTTTAACTCATCCTCCTCTCCTACTCAGGGGTAGCATTGAAAATAAAACTCTACTACACATGGTAGAGTAAGACTTATTCCCAAACAATTGTCAGTAATAGTGATAGGCTATAAAGGCTTGTTTTTATTAATTCACCAGTGCTAAATACCTCTTCCTGGGGTGGGGAAAGCATTTTTTCATACAGCTGTCAGAGGTAATGTGTAAGAGCTGGGGGAAACAAGAGACTAACCAGAACCAAAGCAAAACAGCAAAGCTTAAAAGGAGAAGCTGAGAAATGGAGTGTCCATGGGATTTTCAAAGGTCATGACAGGTAAGGGACTATGCTAAGCTGGGTCAGAGCGATCGCTGGCATGCGGAGGATCTATGTCTGGGAACAGGCCTGGTTGGGGAGTTAAGGGGACACCCTGGCTGGGTTGTGGTTCCCACTGGTGAGTGTCGGGGCCAGAGTAGGAGCTGTGTCTGGTCTGGATACGGTTGCAGTGTCCCTCAGCACAAATGAGAACTGGAGCTGGGCGTGCCAGACTGGGCTAGATCCCAGCACCAACTGGTGCTCCTGTGGACCAGGTTAGGTGTAGGACAGGCTAGGCTAGGCTTATGCCCCTGGTGAGCAATGTGTGATCTGTGTCTGGGAGTAGACCAGGCTTGACTGGGCTGTACCACCCAACAATAAAAACCAGAATGAGTTGAAGGCCAGTTAGGAAAGGCCACTATTTCTGTTAGGACAGGAGGTGGAGTCAGTAGGGCTGGCCTGTGGGTCAACTGGTATGTGAGAGATCTGGCATTGGGAGAGGTTCTGATGAAGCTTGGGAAACTCCTCTTTCAAGACACAGTTTCTGCAGGTGAGCACAAGAATCACGATAGGGAGTAAACCAGATCAGGCCAGGGAACAGTACGCACTGGGATCCATTTGCTGCAGGTTGGGGGCGGACCAGGTTCGGCCAGTTCACATCACTCATTGGCAAATCCAAGCACTAGAATAGAGTGTGGGTTGGGCCGGGTTCAGTCGCAACACATGCCAGTACACATTAGGGCTGGGAATGGGTGCATGCTGGGCTGGGCTGGGCTAGGCTGTAGCCCCCACCAGTGTGAGCTAGAACTGGGGATGGGACAGGCCCAACCAGACTAAAGCACCCACTGGCAAATGCTGAGGCAAGGTGGCCATGCCAGACCGGGGCTGCAGCACTCAACCAGCACATGTGATACACGGGGCAGGGGCAGTAGGAGGGAGCAGAGTCAGTAGGGGGACTGCATGGGGCTTCCCTGCTGGACTTCCACTCCCACTGCAGAGCATGAGTTGGGATGGGGGTAGACCAGCCCCGGCAGAGCTACAAAACCTGTTGTCCTCTTGTGAGCTGGATCAGGGGAAAGGCAGGCTGGGTTAGTTGTTCCTATTGGTGCATGCATAAATCAGATGGGGTGAGGGTTGTTTGGGCTTTGCTGCTGCATCAGCTGGCAGATGCTGGCATTGGGGGCTAATTCTGTCAAGTTAAACTGCAGAACTATCTGAAGGTGCATGATCTGGGAGTGGGAGTGGCCTAGGAGGGAAATAGTGGGCACCTCCCTCTTGGGTTGAAATTCCCACTGGTGAGCATGAGAGCCAGGACTGGGACAGGCATGGCTAAACAGAGAGTGGCACTTGCCAGGATGTGTGTGGGCTGTAAAGTAGGGCTGGTTGGGTTGAACTAGGATTTAATGCCCATCGACATGTATGTAAGCTGAATGGGATATAGGATAGACTGGACCAGTCTGCTGGGAACCGGGGCAGGGGCTGAGCCTGGTGGGCGCTATTGTGGGTCACTTAGGCTAGGTTGTAGCTCCCACTGGTTTGTGTGAGGGCCAAGTGTGTGGTGGACAGGTTCAGGCTGGGCTGCAACACACATTGATTTGTGTGGAAGACAGGGCTGGAAACAGAACTGACCCAGCAATTACAACCACCAGCATATGCATAAGCTGATTGAGGCAACAGACTGTGCCGGACCCTGTGTAGACATGCACACAAAAGAATCAGGTCTGGAATCACCTCAGATGAAGTGTCTTTCAGGATTGCCCCCAACTGAACTGCTGGACTCAGAACCCCAACCATGAAGAGAAGTGCTCCATGGTCTGATTGTGGAGTGCATGTGTTAAAGCTGAGCAGTGGACAGGATACCCAGTGCTCATGGAGGATATGACAGTCCATCGGAACCTGCAGAGGACACCTGGTACCACAACAGAGAATGGAGGGCAGAAGAAATTGATCAACTGCCCCAGCCACATGTTGGCAGTGAAAATCTGGGCAAACGGAGACTCTAAGATGGCTGTCAGCCAGTGGATTCTGGAGAGATTTCATCGTGCCTGTAATGGCAAGATTGGCAGCAATTCAGAACTGCTAAACTATCAAAACCACTTGAGCACGACCCTCAGAGCATGCCCTACATCGGAGACCCTAGGATGGTTGGGAGGCTGGGTGGGGCTTCTCCTTATCTGTCTCCCATTACTCCAGATACAGAAAGGAAAAAAGAGAATGTGGAAACAATGGTCTAACCCACTTTCCTTTAGCTCTTGATTCTTTGCAACCTAATCAACTATGTAAAGATCATCAGAATAATAATAATAAGAAGAAGAAGAAGAAGAAGAAATAAAAACTTTTTAAAATAAAAAAAAATAAACTCTGACAGCAGTCCTGGGAAACTAGAAGACTACACACATGCATAGGTTTGCCCACTAAGGAAAGACTTAATAAGGCTCTAACTCTTATCTCTGGCTATCCTCAAGTATCAATGTAAGCACGAAATGAAGGCTGTAGTACAATTATAAACTGCCTGAGTGTTGAAGACAGGCAACAGAATTCTTTGTTAAGGAGTACAGGTTTATAAGTTCCAGAAATTGCTATTCAATTTCCAGCTGATTACTAAACCAACCAAGCAGAGATTGCAGTGGTCATGAGTGACAAATAATACAGAAAAACAGAAGTAACCCCCTAAAGTTTAAAAAGTAACTCTTGCAAATGTCATTGAAAAACAACCAGCAATTACTTCAACATGTAGTGCCAACAAAATGCTCTGGGACAAGACCAGACTTCCAGATTTGCCGTTTTGTAGTATTTAGAGAGTCGGTTTATTGGCAATAAAAGAATATAAGACAACACAAATAAACCAGAAAGTATATCCATTGAATAATTCAACTTTTTTTCGAATAGAAACTGTCCCCAGAGAAGCACAAATATTGAACTTAGTAGATAAAGCAATTTAAACACATTTTTTAAAAACCTGAGAAACATGTCTCTCTCTCTATCTATATATATATATAGAACTAAAAGAACTGGGATGATTCAAGTCAAATACAGAATATCAATGAGTAAATTGATATAAAACGGAGCAAAAATAGAGATAATGAGATTAAAAGTAAAGTGACTTAAAGAAAAACTGCACTAGAGGGGAAAATCCACCAAAGTAGATATGAGTAGGAAGAATAAATTATCTGTATTCTTGAAGATATGACAATTGAACTTATCTGCTTAGAAAAACAGAAAGGAAGATAAATGAAAAAGAATTGCACAGTATTCAGATATCTGTGGATTGCAATCAAGTATATCAATACACCCATCATGAGAACTGTAAAAGGCGAAGGGAGAAATAAATGGATACACAGAAGTAATAATGTAAAAAAAAATCACAGATAAAAAAGCAATAATCTGTCATTGCAAGATTAATTTCATTTGGGATATACTAAAAAGCATGCATACCTAGAAACAACATAACCAAAATCAAAGCCGGAGAAAGAATATTCATTATTTACGAAGTGTTCTCAATACAGTTAAGGGTGATTTCTCATCAGAACCATATAGACCATGTAAAGATCCTGTTGATGAAGAATTCTGTACTCAGCAAAATTACACTTTAAAAATAAAGCAGAAAAGAAAAAAATTCCAAGATAAATGGTAAGTGAGAGTTTATCATTACCACATATAAGCAATAATCTATATTAGAGGGATATTCTTCAGGATGAAGTGAAAGTATGCTGGACAGTAACTTAAATGAGCATGAAGGAGAAAGCAACCAGTAAATGAAATTACATAGATAAGTATAGGGTATAAGTGTATTTTTGTTGTTTTGATTGCACAGGCAATCATCATAAATGTACGTTAATATGAGCATAATGCATAAAAATGCAGTATCTTACAATTCATGCATTAAGGAGAAGGAATGGAGGTATATAGAAACAAAGCTTTGTATACTAGCCTGTATTCTTTACCAAATTGTAAGTTAATAATTAATGGCAATCTCAATTGTGAGTACCAATAAAAAAACTCAAAAGGTATAGTAAAAGGAATGACAAAGAAATTCTGTTCAATATGAAAAGTGACAGTAATGAAGAAATGCAGAAATATGAAAGACCTGAGATACAAATAATGAATAAACCATCAGGCATAAATCCCACCTTATCAGATCACAAGCAATCAATTTTAATGATAGAGATTACAG